TGGTTCTTGCCTAAGATGTGCTCACAGGAGAAATCTGGGAGAAGACAATTTTGAAGCAGCAGGCAAGGAAGAGCCTGTTGATGGGGAGAGCTCAGGTAACGAAGGTGAAGAGACCAGGTTCCTAGGGGCAAGAGCAATAAGTTCATCCACTCACAGGATCTTAGGCTTGGAAAGCAGTTCAGAGAACATCCAGGTCAGTCAGTATTTGACTCCCGATGCAGCCGTCTGATCACTGCTCACACTGCATATTTCACTTGGCATTTTGTCAATTTGTGTTTATCATTCCTTTCCACAGAGCCATAGAATTTGTGTGTTCAGATAGTTGCAGTTTTCTTTAATTTTGATATCTTTTCTCTGAACATTTTATATAGAAAAATAAGCCTTTCAGTTGGTCCCAAATCATGCTTTTTAAAAATAATGCTTACCTTACCTCTGTAAATTAATGAAAAAATAGTTTTTTCCCCCTAACAGCTTACTCTCAGAGCATAGCTTATAAATGCAGGCCAGCTGGAGTGTTAACTGCCTGCCAAGGGGTAACCACAAACAGATGTCAGCTGTAGGAAAAGAGATTATGAAATTTCTAACCATTAACTCTCCAAAAACTCTAAAACCATCTCAAGAATAGTTAAAAACCATCTCAAGAATAAATTGTTCTACAGTGCATACTGTTGGTACAGAAAAGATCTCACATTGTAAAACTGCCCAGCAAGAATAAAAAGAATAGGAACAAGTGAGAGAAATCCTACTATTTGGAGGACAGGAGGAGATAGGCTGGTTTGTGCCCCGAAGCACAATGTCTGAGGCAGAATATCTCCTGCCACGAATGATTCGGAGAGAAGTTATGACCACGTTTCCTCCACTGTGTCTACCACACAAACTCACAAAGTACAAGAAAATCTCATACTTACATAAGGACTTGGCACAGCTCCTCAAAGATGTAAAAGAGAGCAAAGCAATAAACAGTTGATGTTCGTGTCAGATTCCCTTAGAGAAGTCAACAAAAAGAACAGCAGAAACAAAAAACCATCAAGAAGCGGTAGCTCCAACCCGGGATTCTTTTTAGTTGGGACGTATGAGGATGGGTAATGAAAAAGCTTTCAGAGTTTGGAGTTAAGATACTGTGAAGCAAGAGAAGAAAAGATGTGGTCATGTCCGTCCAGCTCAGACTTTGCTGCACATGAAGATAATAAAACCAGAACTGGTTCTGAGGAACTTATGCAAGCCCAGTCTGCTGGGGAGTTTTGGTTTTGGTTTCATCATGCTTCACTGCATGACAGATCTCCTTGAACTTTGAAATGGTGCATGTTAGAAATAAGGAAAAGGGAAGGAAAGGATACCAGCACGGCCTCCTTACATGCCAGGAACTTTGTATAGGTATCTTTATCAGTTTTCTAGGGCTGCTGTAACAAATGACCAC